ACAAGGTGTAGAGCTGGATGAACACAGCAGGCCTAGACCCTTCTTCAGAAAAGGCCCAAAACGTCAGCCTTCCTGCTTCTCTGATGCTGCTTGGCCTGCTGTGTTCATCCAGCTCTACACCTTGTTATCTCAGATTGTCCAGCATCTGCAGTTCCTACTATCTCTTTATGCAGGGGAAGTTTTGTTTCACATACTTGATTGAGTTTTTTAACGTAGTAACAAAGATGATTGATGACAGTAGGCTAGTGAATGTTGTCTATATGGAGTTCAGTAAAGTATTTGGCAAGTTCGCTTACGGTACGCTGGTCCAGAAGATTAAGCCACATAGGACGTATGCTGACACAAAATTGGCTTGGTCATAGAAGTCAGAGGATCGTTGTGGAGGGATATTTTTCTGACTGGAGTTCTGTGACCAGTGGTATTCCACAAGGATCAGTGCTGAGACCTCAGCTGTTTGCTTGGTCAGTCCAAGCAGTGACAGCAGCAGCAACCCAGTGAACCTGGGAGTGAACAGTGGCAGCAGTAGCAGGATAAAATACCTGAGGAGCAGGGTCTAGACCAAGGTCAGTCTGAGCAGTGACAGTAGCAGCATCAGTATGATGGAAAACAAACTTGGGAATGTCTTTTATCTTGTTAATCCTGTGCCAGTTGTTTTGTGGGTCAGGTAATAATCCAGAGGTTATTAGCCTTAGCTGCTCATATTCCATCAGCAGAACCTGTTTCCATATTCTACCAATAAATTTGGAACCTACATGGACCATGATAACGAGATCTACCTACTCCCACCCCAAGACCCTCTGCAGCCCAGATAAGATAGCCTGAATCTGAGTATCAGGAGGGCAACACTGCTTCTGGGACTCTCAATTCTGGCAACAGAGAACAGTGTCTGTTCCCCTGACTGTATTGTCCATGGTTACAACTACATTTCTCTTGTCTACCCTCACCTCTTGAATAGCTCCATGTACCACGGTGCTAGGTCAGTTTATCGCATCCTGCCTATAGCTACTGCTGGGGGAGCAAAAATCTCAAACTTGTCAGACAAGCTCAAGGGCTGAGGCTCCTGCAGCACTACCTCCTGGATCACTCTAACCATTGCGCTCATAGTCCCACCTTCTTATCCCTGATCAATGACTGAATTCAAGGTAGTTAATCAAACGGTGTCACTGCCTCCTGAAACACAGCATTCAGGTAACTCTCCCCCTCCCTGATTTGTCAAAGTCAAAGTTCAGACTCCAGCTCATCAACCCTGAGCTGGAATTTCTGTATCAAAATTTGATACAGATGTGATCACTGTGTACCACAATGGGGTTCCCCAGCTTCCATTTCATGTAGGTGCTATGGACCAGGCCAGAACCCCTCAAAATATTTTAAGAAGGTAGTCTAGACCCTAATGTTTTCATATTTATCAGGTGGAAAAGGATATTCCAGATGTGATGCAACTGTCAAACCACTCGTTATTAAGCAAAACAATTTATTTAAAGACGTAGTTAAAACACAAATAAAAGAAAGAGAAATTTAGAATACCTATTGGAAAACTTAACCAAATACTAGATACAGTAACTATTACTAATTAAGTGTTCCAAAATAGTACCACCCAATAAACACACCCCTTGGAAAAAAGGTAAATTCAAACACAGATTCGTACAGGCAGGTTTCCAATCCAGGAGGGGACAACATCAAGAGAGATTTCAGAGAAAGTCACAGCTAGGAATCATTTGCTGAAGCTTGCAACCCTTCTGGGACCCAAACATCTTGCAACTGCTACAGTTGAAAAAAAAACTAGCAAGCCTGATCTAGGAGAACTGGCCACTCTCATTCCATTGTCACAACTGTTTTAAAAAAAAGCCTAAAGGCCTCTTACATTATTGACTTAGGCTGACACCTTAGCCACTTTGGTACCTCTACCGTTACAACCTCTCTTAAAAAAAACCCAGGACAAAATAACCTTTTTAAAATGACAGTGTTGTTACATCTCCCCCCAGTAAAAGAAATGACCAATCAATATACAAAAATGGCTTCATTTTAAAACCCTTAGTCTTACTCTATTAGTACTCTACAATACAAATGCATTACATTGACTCTAAGCATGCAAACGTTCACGACTACATTCTATTTCAGTCTGTTTCCTCCTGCTACTGATTGCCTCTGTCTTTCATCATCCAAGTCACAACAATGCATTGGCAGTTACATTTTCTTGTCCTGCCATGGGTATAGTTTTCAAATTGAATGGCTGCAGTATTAAACGCCACCTAAACGGTGTGGAATTTTTGTCCTTCAATTTCTCCAAAATCTTTAATGGGTTACGATCAGTATATACAATTGTCTGAGGCACATTACTGGCAATATAAATGTTGAACTGCTGTAATGCCAACACCAAGTTCAAAGTCTCCTTCTCAATTGTGGACTGTTTCTGTTGATGAGTATTTAACTCTCTGGAAAAATACCCGATAAGTCTTTCTATCTTCTCGTTATCTTCTTGTAAGAGTACAGACTGACACCCATATCATTCGCATGGATAGTCACTTTGAATGGCTTTGCGTAATTAGGTGTGGCTAATACTGGGGTAGTGATTAACACAACTTCCAGGTTATCAAATGCCTTCCAACAGTCTACTGTCCATAGAAATTTTCTGCACTTTTTCATTAAATCAGTCTGTGGAGCAACCACACTGCTAAAATTTCGTATGAACTTCCAATAAAACCCACTCAATGCCAGGAATCATAGTATTGCTCTCTTCGTTGATAGTATGGGAATAACCTATGTTTTCACATTCACAATAACATGGCCCAGGAATGTGACTTTGGCTTTTGCAAATTCACTCTCAGCCAGATTTATCACCAAGCCTGCCTCCTAAAGTCGATCAAATAATTCCGACAAATTCTGTGTGACTTGGGTAATCCAGAAATGACTTTTATGGGTTAGTCTTTGAAATGTGGCTGGTGCATTTTTAATACCAAATAGCATGACTTTAAATTGGTAAGATCCATTCAGTGTGACAAGAGCTGAAATTGTCCTTGCTCCTTCGGATAAAGGTACTTGTCAGTATCCTCTGAATAAGTCCAACTTAGAAATATAAGTTGCTTATCCCACCTTCTCAATACAATCTTCCAAAAGTAGAATAGGATATGTAACTGCATTGACTTTGCAGAATGCACAATCATTGTATGTCATCTGGTTTTGGCACCATTACTATGGGTGAGCTCCAGTTACTGCATCTCACTTTGATTATGTTATCCTTGAGCATGTGTTCAATCTCTTTTTCAACCTGTGCCAACTTTAGAGGGTTAATTCTATAAGGATGTTGCTTAATTGGAACAGCATTTCCGATATCTGTATCATCCATAATTAAGTTAGTACTTCCCAGCTTATTCCCACATATCTCCCTAAGTGATAGTAATAACTCTTTCAGGTCATTTTGATTTTCCTCTGGAAAGTAACTGAATAATTTATCACAATTTTTGAGAGCTTCCTCATTGTCCAGTCGAACTTGAAGAATGTCCAATTCAAAATCCTTTGAACTTGGTTCTTCACTCTGTATTGTAACCAGTAACACATTCTCGTTTTGCTTACCTTTCTTATCAAAATACCTTTTGAACATGAGGTTGTTGACTTACTGATCAAGCTGGCTTGTTTTTGTTCAGATGCTCAGTCTGAACGAAAACAAGCCAGCTCGGTGAGCAAGTCAACAATCTCACCCACAACCCGAGCTACAAATCTTTGCTAAAACCTTAAACCTTTTGAGC